TTGCCAAATTTAGTTGTTATTGCGTGACATATCAGTCAAATGTTGTGGTTTAATTAAATCAAGAAAGAAGTTTCAAAGTCGTCTTTTAATATAAACAAGTATAATTTTCCAAATTAAAATATAATTTCATACCTTGTCACCTTTTAATTTCATAACGTTTGCGTCGTTGTATGCGTGATGACATTCATAAGGCATGGGATGAGAAAGTTGATCCAAACGTATCACCCTTTCAGTTTTATTTACGCTTTCTACTATTTTGTAAGCTTGTAAGTACTCGAAAAATAGTATGGTATCCCAATTTTGATAAACAAAATAAAAATTGTTATTAAAGCTAAAAATGTATTTAATTTTAACAAACATAGGATAATTGTTTTCAGTTTTTCCATTTATTAACCCTTTGTGTCCCGACGATACTTTAAAGCACCGGTAATTTTAAACACTCATTTTAAACTGTAGTTATCTGTTTGGCGCATTTAGAGCTGTCGGTACTTTCTACCTATACAAGTGTATACAAGAGAGAATCTGTATAAAAAACGTCGCAATCCGCATTGTAGGATTTTTAGGTACACTTTAAACTTATTCATCCAGATGTGAGGTTAAAAGTTTGTGAAAAGTGGTGCTGTTGAATTTTGTTGTTCAAAAAAGTATTTCTTTGATAAATGGTTATTAGGTGTGATTATTACAGATCATTTTAAAAAGAAAACATTGAGCTTAAATTTAAAATAAGTCTTATTCCTTAATTTCAATAAACATGGCTTCCAAGAATTTTTAAATTAGCATCTTTTTTGACTCTTTTAAATGTAAGTGTTGTTTCAACATTTTTTTTCTTAATATTTTTCCAATCCAACCCAACAATTATTATACATCATTTTAAAGAGAAAGCTTTGAGCTTTAATTTAAAATAAGTTTCATTCCTTAATTTCAATAAATACGGCTTCCAGGAATTTTTAAATTAGCATCTTTTTTGACACTTTTAGGTTATACGAAAATGTAAGTTTTGTTTCAACATTTTTTTTCTCAATATTTTTCCAATCCAACCCAACAATTATTATACATCATTTTAAAGAGAAAGCTTTGAGCTTTAATTTAAAATAAGTTTCATTCCTTAATTTCAATAAATACGGCTTCCAGGAATTTTTAAATTAGCATCTTTTTTGACACTTTTAGGTTATACGAAAATGTAAGTTTTGTTTCAACATTTTTTTTCTCAATATTTTTCCAATCCAACCCAACAATTATTATACATCATTTTAAAGAGAAAGCTTTGAGCTTTAATTTAAAATAAGTTTCATTCCTTAATTTCAATAAATACGGCTTCCAGGAATTTTTAAATTAGCATCTTTTTTGACACTTTTAGGTTATACGAAAATGTAAGTTTTGTTTCAACATTTTTTTTCTCAATATTTTTCCAATCCAACCCAACAATTATTATACATCATTTTAAAGAGAAAGCTTTGAGCTTTAATTTAAAATAAGTTTCATTCCTTAATTTCAATAAATACGGCTTCCAGGAATTTTTAAATTAGCATCTTTTTTGACACTTTTAGGTTATACGAAAATGTAAGTTTTGTTTCAACATTTTTTTTCTCAATATTTTTCCAATCCAACCCAACAATTATTATACATCATTTTAAAGAGAAAGCTTTGAGCTTTAATTTAAAATAAGTTTCATTCCTTAATTTCAATAAATACGGCTTCCAGGAATTTTTAAATTAGCATCTTTTTTGACACTTTTAGGTTATTTGAAAATGTAAGTTTTGTTTCAACATATTTTTTCTCTATATTTTTTCAATCCAACCCAACAATTATTATACATCATTTTAAAGAGAAAGCTTTAAGCTTCAATTTAAAATAAATTTTATTTCTTAATTTCAATAAACACGGTTTCCAGGAATTTTTGAATTAGCATCTTTTTTGACATTTAGACTATGCGAAAATAGCGGGATTGCATATTTTGCTAAAATTTTATTCCAAATACTGAGTGTATTTTGATAGCGTTTTATTTCTGTCTGATTCTGTCGCAAAGTTTCAAAATGTTTGACTTCTTGGGACACAAAGGGTTAAATAGAAACAACCACTGATTATTCGCTTATTAAATTCGTTATTTTTTTCTGATTACAAAAATATAGGGTTCGACGGGTCTATTTCTTATTGTTTTAGAATAAAGCTAAAAATAAACTTTTTTTATAAAATTTCCATCTAGTGTAGTCGAGGAAATTAAATTTACAGTTTCCTGTAAGTTACGGGACGGTAGGTAAAATCTAAAAAGTTAACAATTAAATACGAAGATAACTTCTGGTATTTAAAAACAAATAATTTTTTAATATGTAATATTCTAACATGTCAAACTTTTCAAAATTTTCGTAATTGATCTTAAAAACAGGATTTTTAAAGTGACACTTCAGAAAATTTTTGAATACAAACAAATGTTGCTATGTTTATTTGAATTAAAAAAATATAAACATATGAGCGCCATCTATCGATAATTTATTAAGTCGTTTAAAAATAATATTAAATCGTAATAAAAAATGTGAAATAATGCAATCTATTCCAACTTTTGTGTAAAACATATATAAATTAAACAGTTCAACAAATATATTTGTTTCAAATATCAAAAATATGTTTTTTTAATTTTTAGTTATAGAACCGTAATTTACAGAAAACTGTAAATTTAATTTCTTCGACGACACTAAAAAAAAAGTTTATTTTTAGTTTTATTCTAAAACAATAACAAATAGACTCATCAAACCCTATATTTTTGTAATCAGAAAAAAATAACGGATTTATTAAACGTGGCAAAAAACTCAAAAACGTGGCTTTTTAGGTTGATAAAAAAGGAATCGTCTATTAGAAACATTAGTGTGAAAATGTGACACTAGTTTGTACGATTTTAGGCGTGAAAATACGTCCAACACCGATCGTGGTTTCCTCCTTTTTCCGTTCCAGTTTTTCACGCCAAACCGGGCATTGCAAAGCGTACTTCCGTTCAAAAAGGCAAAACAAAACAAAAAAAAAGATAAAAACGAAAAGCACAACCACGCGGACGGAAACTCGTCCCCATTATGCATCACGCAGCAAACCGGGGCAATGAAATTGGTCTATTAAATTCTGTCGACGTTCGGACGGACGAGCGATAGCCGCAAAATCAATATTGAACGGAAGGGTGGAGGTGAAAGAGGTGGAAGAGGTAGAGGGACCATCGCCGGGGCTTAATTATGGATTTTTCAATGATTAATGACCCTCGCCCGGGGTAACATTAATCAAACGATTTCTGAACCGACAACATTTGCAGAATGCGTAAAAGTCACTATTAGACCATTTTGCCCACAACGTTTTAAATCGGCAACTTGTGGCTTTTAGATCATAGAAACTAAAGAGGCTTTCATTCCTCAAAAAGAACCTTCCACGATTTAGACGGGACTTAATTGATAACGGCCTCCTGATTTATGGCACGTTTTGTGTTCTTCGAAATATGATTAATGATTACTTTGAAAACAAAACCACCTTTTTGTGTATTAATCGACTGTAAAAATATCAAAACAAATAATATGGTGATATTGAGAATCAAATCGTGGAGAACGTTCAATGGATTCCACTTGGAAAGGCAGAAATGGGAAGTGTAATCTGCACTGTTACAAATGCAGTTCGAAGGGATGGCATGTTCTCTTCGTAATTTGCCCTGAAGTCCGGATCACGTATTGCCGGTACGTGTAAATAGAACTCTCCATCCATCAGACATCAGAACATTCGGAATCACTCGATAACAGTTCGATATTGCATAATTGACGGTACAAACGTGCAAGAGGCATAAACGTCAATTTCAATATCATCTATTAATACAACATCATACAACAATTATTATTATCTTAGTTAATACTGTGATGTTTTACTTGTGTGTTTTTACACAAGTTATTAAACTATAAATTTGGGTTTCTTTAATTTTAAGAGACTCTTATGAAGCTCAGGGTTTCGGGCAAGTTCAGGTTCAAAAAGAAAATTGATCAGGTTCGACAAAAATTCATTTAATTAAACACAAAATCCCTTTTGTAACAAAACGATACGATTTCCCCCCTCCACTCGTTCTGATTAAAAGAACACCATACTGTTCAGTGGGAAATTAAAATTTCAAGTTAAAAAAAATTGTTTTAACAAACACTGTTCCTGAAGTAATTCTAAACAAATTTAGTTAACAAAATTTTTTGATTAAATCAACAATAAGGATATAACCTCAAAAATATTAATTTTTGTACCATACTATTCAGTGGGAAATTAAAATTTCAAATTAGCAAAAAATTGTATTAACAAACACTGTTCCTGAAGTAATTCTAAACAAATTTTGTTAACAAAATTTTTTGATTAAATCAACAATAAGGATATAACCTCAAAAATATTAATTTTTGTAGCATACTATTCAGTGGGAAATTAAAATTTCAAATTAGCAAAAAATTGTATTAACAAACACTGTTCCTGAAGTAATTCTAAACAAATTTTGTTAACAAAATTTTTTGATTTGATCAATAATCTCAAAAAAATTTTTATATATACAGGTGTCCCACCTAAGTTGCCTCGGTCCATAGCCGAATTATGATTGAGTTTTTCAAAAAATTTTTCAAATAAAAGTTGAATCGAATCATATTGTACATATTTTAAAATTAGTTTCAGTAATGGCGGACTTCCGCTTCTACCGGAAATGGATATCAACTTTGTTATTTTAAATGGAACATCCTGTATATTATTGCATTTTTGGATTCCTCGTGAAATTTCAATGGTACTTTGTTAAGGATACCTTAGGTCTAACTGGTATCGTTTTTGAATTATATGACGATTGTCGAAAAAAATGACATTTGCAGCATCTTATAAATTTGGCAATATTGCCGAAACTGTGAAAGCTAGAAAGATTTGGTTTTCTGTTTTGGATTAACAATAAAAGAGTACACGTTTTATATTTTTATTTATTCTTTTATTGAGAAAATCGTTTTAGAACGAGTGGAGGGGGGAAATCGTATCCTTTTGTTACAAAAGTTCCGTGCCCTCATCAATGCGATTAATTCTTTCCGTTCAGATTATCAATGGCGCGATATGTATCGGAAAGTCGAGGTCCACGACCTGAAATGTACAACGAAGACTATAAATTGGTTGAAAACGAAGACGAAGATATCCAACAAGATATATTTAACGATATTAAAGCAGCTGATGAATCCGGTTGGGGTCTTTCATCGCGGTGGATGGTTGAGAATTTATCTACATCAAACAATTCCCAAATTTACGACATAAACTTTATTCGAGCATCGAGCATATCACCAGTTGATCTTAACTCATTTCTTTACGGAGCGTTTTTACGCCTTTCTAGTATGTATCTTATCCTCGAAGACTTAGAAAAACGTAGTTATTGGTACGAATTAGCTCGCGATATGAAAAAAACAATTCAATTAGTGTTATGGGATGAAAAAGATGGGATTTGGTACGATTACAATTTAGATTCTCAACGACCGATTAAAAAATACTCAGCGAGCAATTTAACGCCTCTTTGGGTCGAAGCCTACAACGATAGTTTATGTTTAAAAGCGAAACAAGCGTTTAGGGCCGCTTCGTATTTGGTTAGATTGGGTATCAATAAATTCGAAGGGGGCATTCCGGCTACTTTGGAGAATACGGGGGAAAAATGGGATTTTCCCAACGCTTTCGCGCCGATTCAATCGATGATAGTGCAAGGGTTGGCGAGATCTGGAAGTGAGGCGGCTGCATTTTTAGCCGAACAATTTGCTCGCGATTGGATTAAAGCTAATATGATCAGTTGGAAACAACGAGGAGTTCTTTTCGATTATTACGACTCTGAAAGGCCGGGAAAAACCAATCAAGGGGTTGATAAAAAATTTGGGGGGGTTAATGGTGGATGGTCAAGTGGTGTCTTATTGGAATTTATTAACACTTATTATGTTATGATGAATAAAAATTCTAGTTTTATGATTGTTACTTGAAAATTAAATTCTCATTAACATCATTCTTTTATTGTATTAGTAGTCAGATATGGATCAGTTGATATGGATCCTTGGTTCACTTTTCAAGTCGTTAAATGAACAATATTTATTTGGACTTATATCAAAATTATAACAATAAGAAATACGAAAAGAAATACATATATAAAATAAAATAAATATAAAAAAAGAGTCCAAAAGGGCTACCTTAGTCTTCCTGCCCGTGATTTTGAGTTTGGTTTGGTTGTACTTGGGTCTTCTCAGTTGACCCAAGCAAGATGGAAGAAGTGTTGTTATAATAAAAAGCGCTTCCTAATCCGAGAACATGCTTGGTTACATTCAATATTTAATTGGCCGATGGGTCTAAAAAATGGAGAAACAATACGTCCGCAACAAAATTCAACTGAATTTAAAAGAAGACCCTTTTTGGAGTTAAGCTACCGTCAGAAGAAGAGGAGGACCAACGTTCTGCGGTCAGAAAATACTTATCTTTGCAACAAGATTAAAAATGGGTACACATGGATCTCGCGAACTGGCCAAAATTTTAAACCACCTTCTCAAACATATAGATATTTCCAAAGTATCTAATATATTATTTCAAAAAAAGAAACAAAAGCCCACATTAACCCCTGATGACAGCCTTGCTCTTTCTACATCTTTAAATTTATCAAAATGGCAATACAATACTTTGAGAGATTCTGTAGGAAACCTGATTGCCGTAATCGGACATCAACGAGACAGGGTAATCAACGCAAAATACAACGTACATAAACATCTGATGGACAAACCCTTACAGTTCCGAGCAATAAACCCGTAAATTTTATAACAATTAGCAACTAAGTTAAGAATGTGTTCGTTAAAAGTCAGTCCACTGTCAAACAGCACCCCAAAGTCAGAGCACTTACGTTCGGACATCAACGGTTGATTGGCCAAGTAATATGCACAGTCAATTGTGTTTAGTTTTTTAGAAAATGTCATGGTAAAACATTTAGAAATATTAAGTGATAAAGGGTTGCTGAGGCACCAATGCTCAACACGAATCAGGTTTTTCATTCTCACAATCCAAGATCTCGGATACGTCATTAATAAAAGCCAGGAAGAGCAATGGACCGAGGTTGGATCCCTGGGGAACTCCTGAAGTTGGAGAAAATCCTCTGGAAGTGAAGCCGCCGTAATTAACAAACTGCTGCCGACCTAGCAAATAAGATTTCATTAACGACAACAGTTTCAATAAGATAAAGTGATCCAGCTGATCAAACGCCTTCCGAAAGTCGAGATACACAACATCTACCTGCCCTCTAGCGTCGATTACATCAGCAACAAATTGGGCAAAGCATGTCAGATTGGTGACAGTGGATCGACCACAAACAAATCCGTGTTGGACTGGGCTTATGTACTTGCTTAAATGATATGAGATGTGCTTGAAAAGAACGTTTTCAAAAGTCTTCGAGAAACCACACAGCAGCGCTATAGGTCTGTAATTCACAATCTCAGCAGGGTTGCCCTTCTTCAAAATTGGACTCTTTCCATAACGACGGAAAGGTAGAAGTAGACAGGACCAGATTGAAAATCGAAAGCAATGGGGCGGCCAGAATCGAAGCAGTAAAAAGCTCGGTATCCCATCGACTCCAGCAGTAAGTGTATTCTTTGTACGCTTCAACGCATCCTCAACCTCCTCTAAGCTGAAGCTCTCCACTGACAAACAAAGACTATGATCGGGGAAATCAGACTCCACAAAAACAGGATCAGATTGAATATAAACGGACTCAAAATAATCAGCAAAATACTTCGACCCGAACTGAACTCCAGGTTTCCATTTGTCATCAGGCCTGGAATGCTTCCGTGACCGAATATAAGCCCAGAAGGTACTGGGATCAGAAATCAAAGATCGCTCAACATCGTTCATGTACGCATTATATGCATCGGTAATGTAGTGTTTAAATTAATTCAGGCAATACAGTGAACCACTACGCTTCTGCCTTGCGCGCATATTCTCCTTCATGCGAATACAATCCCTTATCTCCTTCGTGAACCAAGCAGGCCAACGACGATTCGTAGAAATTCTCACAGTTTTAGGCACTGCTAAATCAAAAACATCGTGTAGCTTGTTATAAAGAAGCCGGCATGCATCATCTACCATTCTAATACCATCCAGGTCCGACCAATTCACCTCACCCAACATCCGATACAACAAAAGATAGTCTGCACGCTTAAAGTTATAGCTGGGTAGGCCACGATGCTTAAACATGCAAACCTGGGGAGCATAATCCAGAATAACCGCTAAAGCGGGATGATGGAAATGCGCAGCTCATATTGGCAAAGATCAGATCAAGTAAACGATCTAAATTGTACTGACGAAAATCATGGAAATGTCGGAAATTTGTTAAGGTCGTTTTAAATCTATCATTGGTACCAATGGAAGTATAGGAAGGGACATTAAAATCACCATGGTGGTATATATAAAGCAAATACATACATTAATTTCCCACGTACTCCCTGAATCTTGACTCCTACCACATCAATTACTGGTACCACTCTGGATAAATCAGAGAGATCAAGCTGGCTTGCTTTTAGGGTGTTCTTAAGACAAATCAAAACGCCACCTCCCCTAGACAGGCCATGCGCAGCAAAATTACGATCCCTCCGAAACGTAATCCAATCATCGACAAGGCGACAACATCAAAACAAGACTCACACAACGAATTCAGAAGAGTCGGTGTCTTCGTACGAATACCTCTGACATTTTGGTAATAACAAGACAAGATATTATGACTGGGTGGTATATTCAGTTTAAAATATTTTTTACGATTTTCGGGGTGCCATTGGTATAGCGTATTCGGAGATCAGGTTCACCGTTAGCAGTACGCTGCTCCAACTGAAGCTGTAATATTTTATCTGTCTAGGAGTTCGATCGTAACTAATTCTTAAATTTGAGTAAGCAGGAAAGTTCTTAAGCTTTTTAGTCTCACGAATATAACGGATCACACATTCGTGCGAATCAAAGACAACCTTAATTGGACGACCCCTATCGTTAGCTGGATTAAAACGACCCAGTCTAGTAACCTTAAAAGTATCAGCATTCGTAGGAATAATATATTTGATCACAGTAGCATGATCAGAAGCTGCCGGTGATTGGCCATCGGCCATCTGACAATAAGATTCTTTTTGCGATCAACCAATTCCTGATGTACCTCTTCGAAAATGCTTTCGTTAGAATCGCTCGACCGCTGGCCGGCAAGATCCTCACGCAAACTCCGCAACTGCTCGCAGAAGTCCTCACGCAGCTTGTCAACCAACGCCGCAACTTCAATATTATAAGGTGACTATGGCAAAAAATGCCTGTTATCCACCCTTAGAATCTATGAATGTTACGGACACTGCGGCAAAAATTAAAATTCACGCTCTTCTGGATTTAACGGTATCGAGACTTTTAAAAACTTCCTTGGATAAATTGCAATCAACAGAACTAGTGCTAATTAGTAAATGGGGATTTGATGAAGCTTCCAGCCAGAGTAACTACAAACAAACATTTAACGATGTAGATGCAGATGATTCTTTCATATTCATGTCAAGTTGTGTACCCCTAAAATTGTCTAAGCCCAGTGAAATGAATAATTTATCTGTTGTGCTCACGAAAGAGGTAAGATGTGATGTCTTAAAATAATCCGTATTTTAATCAACGCTTCACATGTGGATTCGATATTTTGAGTGAGGTGTATATGTGAGTAGCGCATTTGGTGGATATCCCTCGGCCTCTATATGAGAGTGAGCGGAAGTGTTTGGCGCGGTTTTTGACTTTCATTTTTACTTTGATGGCGTGGGCAGAGAATTTAAGGGTTCCATCCAAGGTAATGCCGAGGTAGTTACAAGTTGGTGATGCTGTGATAGGAGAAGATTATTGTGGGAGGAGCAACGCGAATAGGGAGGAAGGGGATGAAGAATTGGGTTTTGGAAGGATTTATTTTATTCCTCTATGTTTTGGATGAGCGTCTGCAGCCTTAGGATTGATGATGGAATGTCTACATCATGTGCGACGAGAGTAGTATCATCACCATAAAGACATCGGATCGAAGACGTCTGGGTTGTTGTTGTAGATGTCATGGCAGTAGACGTTGTACAGTGCTGGCGAGATGGGAGAGCCTTGTTGAGCGGTGAAACTGTGAGAGTAGTAGTTCTTCACTTTAACCAATGAGGAGCGGTCTGAAAGAAATTCTTTTAGCAGGTTAAGAAGATGAGATGGGATTTTCAACATAGCTAGCTTGTACAGTAGACCTCTGTGCCATACGGAGTCGAATGCCTTCCGAACATCCAGGAAGACTGCGGCGGATTGTTGTTTTTGGAAACGTGCTTCATTAATAAAGTCAGCACGATTTTATTTAATTTTTTCATTTTTGACGTTTAACTCAAATGTTGGAGTATTCAATTTTAAGCAATTTCAGATTTTCTTTCATAATCAACATATCGATTTAAGTGCATCTTCTTAAAATAGAGTTTTTTATCTTTAATTTGAGATATAAATCATTTCTGTATCTTTATAAACAAAGTCAGTCCGATTTTTTTTACATTAGTCATTTTTGATGTTTATCTCAAATCTTGAGTATTCAATTTTAGCCAATTTTAGAGTTTTTTTCATAATCAACATATCGATTTAATCGCATCCTTTCAAAATACAGATTTTAATCTTTAATTTGAGACAAAACTTATTTTTATATTATCCTTGTAATGGAAAAATTCCTCCGTGAAAGTGGCTACAAAAAAATCTCTTTAAACTCGCCCGACCTTCACATCTCAGATTTTTATAATTAAAAACTTTCGAAGGTGATGTAATGTTTATTAAACATAATTTTTTATTATCTAATTTGGATTTAATCTACAAACCATTTAATTAATTGATTATATTAATTGTTTAAAATAACTTGTTTTTGTTCTTATTGGAGTGTCAAATCAAATCAGATCAAATCAAATCGATATCATTTATTATTATTTATCGTGCACAAATACCAAGATTATCATTACATTTAATACTAAAAACATTAATACATTATTATTTACTAATTTAATTATGTTTCCTGGATTTGGGTGATTTATTCAACTTATTTCCGGTAAAATACAAATCAATAAATTCAAGAACAACTCCGTTGGTCCATCCAAAACCAGTTTGAACTTGATACTCTCCCCCGCCGCCGTATTGTCCTTGTTGGACGGCGTCGTATTTCTCAAAAAAAGCATTTTCTCTCTCAAACCCAATCCTCGCGGCTTCAACGAAATTTTCGGCAAACGTTTTTGCTAAATCCATCGCTTCTTGGACTTCGGTACTTCTTAACCCGTTAACAACAATCGATTGAAGTGGAGGCCAAGCATTGGGGAAGTCCCATTGTTCATTACTGTTATATAACGTGGTTGGTATCCCCCCTTTATAGCTGGTGATTTTTTCCCGAACGAGATAACCAGCCGCTTTCATCCCGTATTCTTTACTTTTTGTAGTGTCATAAGCTTGGGTCCATAAAGGCGCTAAGTTACTTGCTGCGAAGAAAGGTCGCCTCCTTTTTAATTTGTTATCGAAATCGTACCAAATCCCATCGTTTTCGTCCCATAACACGTTTGAGATTGCGTCTTTTAACGAATCGGCTTCGTTTTTCCATCTTTTTTCTTGATCTGATTTCGAAAGGATTGAGCACAAATAGGATAAATCGTTAAAAGCTCCGTATAAGATTGCGTTTAAGTCAACTGGGATGACTCTAGATGTTTCGGTGAATGAAATGTTTGCGAAATGAGTTCCATTTTCGTCGAAGATCCATCTCGTTGAAAAATCGAACCCGCTTTCAGCAGCACTTTTGAGTTGGTTAAAAACGTATTGCTTCTTTTCGTCGGATTCAAAGATTTGAACTGTTGCGATGTCTTCGCTGTATGACTCAGGTCGTGGTCCTAAACTAGCCGAAGTGTAAGCGGCCATTCTATACGATTTATCTTCAAGACTAACAGAGACGAATCGTTTATTTAACCACCATTCCAACTCTTTAATAACGATTTCTATGTTTGAAGAGACCCAAGTTAAATCTTTGGTGGCGTCGTAATAGTCTTTAACCATCTTCGTTAAAAGAGGCGGTTGGGATCTTTGCAAATAATAAACTCTCCCCCCGTTGGGGATAAAACCGAATTTATCAACTATCGATAAAAAGTTTCCGAGGATACCTTTAGCCGTTTCGTACATTTCGCAAATTAAAAGACCTCTCACGATCCAATAAGAATCCCAGTAATAAAACTCTTTGAATCTTCCACCAGGGATGATGAACCCGTTTGGAACATAAATCAATGAGTGCTCATTTGGGTTGATTTTAACATCCTCCACGACTTTTCGACCCAATTTAGGCCACCTCGCGTTAATCTCGGCTGTTAAATTTTTAATTGAAGCATCACTAATTTTATTGAGAATATTGGGATGTTCATTATAATCGTGAGGAACCCAATTCTCCAATTCTTTTCCTTCCACGAAGTTCTCACCGACGAATTTCTTAACATCGCTTTGATTAGGGTTTTGATTAGAATTTTCCATGAAAATTTCGAAGTTCTTCAACACCTCGTCTTTTTTATGCGATAAACTTAAATCGACGAATGTTTTAGAATCGGGGAATACTCGGGCCATTTGCACCGTGTTTAACAAATTACCTTGGCAATAAATCTTGCTGTCACATGATGGGGGCAACTCTTTTTTTGGCACACTTTTCGTGAACGCGAACGCGATAATCGCCAAGAATACTAATAATCTCAACTCGACCATTCTTACTACGCTATTGAATGCTAACTGAGCGCCACTGAGCGCTTCTCAAGTATTAAGTAACTCATGTTTCCCACCTGCTCGATTCCTGCGCGTGATAGGAATCATTTTCGCTCATTCAATTCGCATTCTGACAAGTCTTTTGACATTATACAGAAAAATTTTTATTTACCCCATCTAGCGAGAATCACTAAAATTTATTACACTTTAATTATCACATTATTATAAATATATATATATTCAAACATTTTTAAAATTGCTGTATTTGTAACATAAAATTGAATTGTTGTTATCTCGAAATTTGGGTAAAACGAAAAATGTGCGATTTCATCAAAACACTGGGAATTCGTAAAGAAATCTGTAAAATCAGTAAAACTAAGCTTTGCCATCCGCCTCATAGATGGCGCTAATTATAAAATTTTTTTTCAATGTAATTTAATAAGTGATACAATTAATTGTATCGATGTTTAAAAAACAATATTAATCCAACATAAAAGGCGAAAGATAGTAACAATTTAATAACAATGCTTATTTACTGAAATATCGATATTAGAGAGAACCACTTTATTATTTGAGAGAGAGAGATAAAACTAGTTAGAACCGTTCTTTAAAAATAACAAATGGCTGATGTCTTAAATTGTCATCAAACTCGTTAAAAAAAAAAATAGAATTAAATAAAAGTACGTTATTCAAGAAAAAACTAATAAATCTTTACCCACAAGTAAGTATTGATCAAAATTATAGGAAACTCTTGTGAGTTGTTCTTTGAGTTTGATTCTTTGATTTTTCTTTTTGTAGGTTATGTTAAATAATAAAATAAAATTATCATTCGACTCACTGCGAAAAAGAAAGGATTGGAGTTCAATGTGGTATCTGGATTGTGTTCGGGGCACTAACTAATTTTCTGGATTCTTCTTACAGGAAATTGAACTGCTTGTTCTTCGGAAATAGGATGATTCTCTTTTTATTTTAATATCGTAAGTTGATTTAACTTTAAAAAATTATCTTAAATTTTTGAGGTTATCTCTTGAGATTCAAAATTTCTTCTATCTGACGACGTGGATTCGACGCTGGTCCGACGACGACTCCCCCACTCCCTGTTCGCGATCTCCTTATATACCCCGGCACTCCAACTGTTTTTTCCTCGTTTCTGATTGGCTCTTAGCTTCGCGCCCTTTTCAAAATTCAAAATTCTTGCTTCGAAACTAGCGTCATCTCTTGATTTTTCTCGGAATTAACCTTCAAAATTTAATTCTTTTTTCGTTGATTTCTCCCTTATTCCTTTATGAAACGTAATAAAACTTCGTATTCAACGTTGTCTTTTCTTGTTTTTAGACATACATTGGAGTACACGCCAAATTTCAACAATGAGTAAAGTTAGAAAAATTCAAATTTAAATCAAGGATTTCTTCCTCAAAATAACGTTAAAACCTCAAAAGATGGATGAAAAATGTGCTTTAGGAGCTGAACTATAATAATTGATACATTTGGAAGTAAACAAAACGGTTTAAGATAAGATTTTCACCAACAAAAAATTTCTCTGTCACAAATTCTAGGTTATGTTCTCTCAGTGAACTAAGAGAATATTAAAATTATTACAATACATACTAATTAGTTACTTATTTTTAACACCAAATTAAACTAGATAATGTTTTGCAGCTTATCCCAGTGCTCCAGTCTGCTTTACCCATAATATAGATAAATATTGTATATAATTTTTATTTACCCCACCTAGCGACAATCACTAAAATTTATTACACTTTAATTATCACATTATTATAAATAAACATAATGAAATTAAAAGCTTATTCATTCAAACATTTTTATAATAAAATTAATTTTTATCATTACCACAATAAAACTTTATATTCAAATTAAATAAATATTTATTAACAAAATATAGTATCCTATAATACCGACATCGATTGACGTTTTAAGTTTCGAATCTGTCAGTTGTCAAGTTGACGTATACAAACTGTTTGGTCGTGGGTGAGTGTGTTCGTTTTTTGCCACGATGGCTTCTGCAACCGCAGCACCGGGTGAAAAATCGGATTCTCCCCAAATACCCGATATAACGAAACCGTTTCCGCAATCGAAAACCTTAAAATCGGTAACGTTTTTTCTTTTAACACGGGTCAATAAAAGTGTTACCTTTTTTTGATGGTTCAATAAATTTTAATTTTATTTATTTTACTTACAGAATCAATTGGGGGAAATTGCGATAGAAGCCTCGCAAATAGTCAGTAGACTTGAGCAAGTTGCCGAAGGGATTAACCCAACAGAAGGACCTTTTAATCAACCCACTGTATTCCTAGGTTTAGAACAGAAACATTCTGACGAAATCATTCAAATTATTCAAGGTGTTATTTGTAACGACGATGAAGAAGAACCCATTAGTGTATCGCCCATCGATGACATCACAAGATTAGTTATTACTTCGCATAGTTTAGCTGCTTATTGCGTCAGTTTGGATAGAAACATCTTAAGAAAACTCAACACTCGGTTTACAACAGATTTAACGAGATGGATTACATCATTGTTTGGTTTTATTGATGCTGCAGCTTATTATCATGATGATCACCTTGAAGGTCTTGTTAGAGTCACTAGGATGATGCTTCATTACAAATTCCCTCGATTTCTTGAAGATGGAGCTTTAGCGTATACTTCAGCACTTCCCATGATTTATAGCAGCGTTGCAAGTCCGTTGGGAGTCGTCCAGCATCTTTGTAGGACCTTAGGATTACCATTAGCTTGTGTTCGGCCAGTTCCTGTTAATACACACTTTGGTAAAATGAATTAAATTAAAAATTAAGTTGTTTAATGAATCATTTATAGGTTCTCAATATACAATGGATGTTTCTGCTCTTCAACGATTGATTGCTGAGGATATTACAGCTGGGCGAACTCCTTTAATTGTAATAGCAGACGTTGGGACTTTCATTACTGGTCATGTTGATAATATACTTCGTATTCAAACGCTATGTAAGACGAACGATGTTTGGTTGCATCTTCGAGGGCATGGTTTGGCAGCTTTAGCTTTACAATCGCATCAACTTAACGGACATGTTCCCCCAATTACTGATAGTTTTACATTGTCCCTGGGAAGTTGGTTAGGAAATCCTGGGCTTCCAGCAATTGTAACTATTATTAAATAAATTTGACTTTTAAATTTTGTTTTTAAGACATTATATAGGCAATGGGACCCTGCAAGTCCCACTCAAATGAAAAACCGACAAGTTGGGTCACGAGAAAGTACTTTACCTTTAATAGCAGGGTTAAAAAATGATCATCACGGTTTACGAATCGTCACTTTACCGCTTTGGACTGCTTTACAAGCTTTAGGCACTGAAGGGATACATTCGAGGATTCGAGACGGATTTTTAGCCACCGAACGACTTTGGAGTGCTATTGATGTTTATAGACACGTTAGAGTTTTAGTAAGTATTCGAAATTTATTAATTTCTTTTAAATAATTATTTGACAATGACATTTCAAATTATTGGCTACGTTCATAAAATGATTCAGAACTACCAACCTAAATATTGACAGCTAACATAACCTCAAAATTTCAAATCAAATTATTTTATTAATTTCTTCTTATATAATGAGCTTGGATATGGGATTTGGAAACTGGTCCTTCTTATATCCCAGTTAAACGTCTATTTATATCACTTTTGTCTCTGGTGCGTTACTGCCTAAGTATATGCAAGAGGAGCCCCGCGGTTCTAGTAATGTAATTAAAGTTATTTATTCTGTCAACATCAACAGTAAACGTTTCTACCGTCATGCGCAAAAAGCATCTGTGGTTGAATACTCGCATACCATCTCCCTTTCATTTCTAATGTGATTTTCCAGCATCCAATCTGAATATTGTTGTCTCACCTCTTCGCACTCTAGACTAACCAATAAAGGTCTCTGTTCTAGTCCTCTTCGTGCCAAACCATCCGCCGTCTCATTGCCCTGTATCCCGCAGTGATGTGATGAACATCTCATGTAAGATGTACTTCTGTTCGACATTCGCTGACAAAGCTGCAGAGCCTTCCTGATACCAAACAACTCTGCTGCGTATATTGTCATTTGGGGTGGTAAGCCAGCACAGTATTCCAAATTCCCCATCATAGAGTAAATGCCGACTCCAACAGCTTTAGGCTCCTTCGCAGAGACCCGTCCGTAAAGATATAGTTATAATTTGGCCATCTTGTCCTTATGTGTGTCATGAATAGGGCACGGAACTTTTGTAACAAAAGGATACGATTTCCCCCCTCCACTCGTTCTCAGCAGAAAATTTCATACAAAAGTTGTTCTAAATTAAATTCTAAAACGATTTTCTCAATAAAAATATATATATAAAAATTTTTTTGAGATTATTGATCAAATCAAAAAATTTTGTTAACAAAATTTGTTTAGAATTACTTCAGGAACAGTGTTTGTTAATACAATTTTTTGCTAACTTGAAATTTTAATTTCCCTCTGAATAGTATGCTATCAAAATTAATTATCTCAATAATTATTGTTTTTATCAAAAAATGTTTTAAATAAAATTTGTTTCAATTTCGATTTTGAATCAATTATCTTAATAAAAAAATTTTACATCTCTATTAATTAAGCATCTAAGTATAATTATGTATAAAAACGGAAAAATTATTATTTTGAGGTTATCTCCTTAATTATTGATTAAATCAAAAAAAATTGTTGACAAAGTTTGTTTAGAATTGTTTCAGGAACAATTTTTGTTAACACAATTTTTTTCTAACTTGAAATTTTAATTTCCCACTGAACAGTATGCTACAAAAATTAATATTTTTGAGGTTATATCCTTATTGTTGATTTAATCAAAAAATGTTGTTAACAAAATTTGTTTAGAATTACTTCAGGAACAGTGTTTGTTAATACAATTTTTTGCTAACTTGAAATTTTAATTTCCCTCTGAATAGTATGCTATCAAAATTAATTATCTCAATAATTATTGTTTTTATCAAAAAATGTTTTAAATAAAATTTGTTTCAATTTCGATTTTGAATCAATTATCTTAATAAAAAATTTTTACATCTCTATTAATTAAGCATCTAAGTATAATTATGTATAAAAACGGAAAAATTATTATTTTGAGGTTATCTCCTTAATTATTGATTAAATCAAAAAAAATTGTTGACAAAGTTTGTTTAGAATTGTTTCAGGAACAATTTTTGTTAACACAATTTTTTTCTAACTTGAAATTTTAATTTCCCACTGAACAGTATGCTACAAAAATTAATATTTTTGAGGTTATATCCTTATTGTTGATTTAATCAAAAAATGTTGTTAACAAAATTTGTTTAGAATTACTTCAGGAACAGTGTTTGTTAATACAATTTTTTGCTAACTTGAAATTTTAATTTCCCTCTGAATAGTATGCTATCAAAATTAATTATCTCAATAATTATTGTTTTTATCAAAAAATGTTTTAAATAAAATTTGTTTCAATTTCGATTTTGAATCAATTATCTTAATAAAAAATTTTTACATCTCTATTAATTAAGCATCTAAGTATAATTATGTATAAAAACGGAAAAATTATTATTTTGAGGTTATCTCCTTAATTATTGATTAAATCAAAAAAAATTGTTGACAAAGTTTGTTTAGAATTGTTTCAGGAACAATTTTTGTTAACACAATTTTTTTCTAACTTGAAATTTTAATTTCCCACTGAACAGTATGCTACAAAAATTAATATTTTTGAGGTTATATCCTTATTGTTGATTTAATCAAAAAATGTTGTTAACAAAATTTGTTTAGAATTACTTCAGGAACAGTGTTTGTTAATACAATTTTTTGCTAACTTGAAATTTTAATTTCCCTCTGAATAGTATGCTATCAAAATTAATTATCTCAATAATTATTGTTTTTATCAAAAAATGTTTTAAATAAAATTTGTTTCAATTTCGATTTTGAATCAATTATCTTAATAAAAAATTTTTACATCTCTATTAATTAAGCATCTAAGTATAATTATGTATAAAAACGGAAAAATTATTATTTTGAGGTTATCTCCTTAATTATTGATTAAATCAAAAAAAATTGTTGACAAAGTTTGTTTAGAATTGTTTCAGGAACAATTTTTGTTAACACAATTTTTTTCTAACTTGAAATTTTAATTTCCCACTGAACAGTATGCTACAAAAATTAATATTTTTGAGGTTATATCCTTATTGTTGATTTAATCAAAAAATGTTGTTAACAAAATTTGTTTAGAATTACTTCAGGAACAGTGTTTGTTAATACAATTTTTTGCTAACTTGAAATTTTAATTTCCCTCTGAATAGTATGCTATCAAAATTAATTATCTCAATAATTATTGTTTTTATCAAAAAATGTTTTAAATAAAATTTGTTTCAATTTCGATTTTGAATCAATTATCTTAATAAAAAATTTTTACATCTCTATTAATTAACCATCTAAGTATAATTATGTATAAAAACGGAAAAATTATTATTTTGAGGTTATCTCCTTAATCACTGATTAAATAAAAAAAAAATGTTGACAAAGTTTGTTTAAAATTGTTTCAGGAACAATTTTAGTTAACATAATTTTTTTTTAATTATCTCTTTTAATCAACATTTTCTGAGAACGAGTGGAGGGGAGAAATCGCATCGTTTTGTTACAAAAGTTCCGTGCACACTTATCAACATCGGTATTTTAGTAAAAATCCAAAGCCTTCGCAACAGCAATATTAATGGGTTATTGCTTTGTCGCATATTTTTAATAATGAAATTTCTCGTTCTCACCTCTGCCAGGATTCTCAATGGTGGGTCAACATTCTCAGCTTCCAATACATTGGTCGGCGTAGTCCCAAAACACACCTAACCCCATGATATTTGACTCTTTCTAGCTTTAAGCTGAATTCTTCTCCATCGTGCAAGTTCGTACGTTGCATTTTTCCACAAGTCAGGAATTCCGTGTACTCTCATTATCCTTTTCATGGTGGGAATGTCCACGTTATCGTATGCGGCCTGTATATCTTTGGAAATTAGTCCCATATTGAAGCCTTCCGGCCAATTTGTTATCTCTACCAAATCCTCCTCAGCTTCCACCTTCCTGGGAACATATGAGGGGCAGATTTCAAAGTTGACAGTTATTTTGATTAATTTCTTTTAAATAATTAATTATTTGACAATGACATTTCAAATTATTGGCTACGTTCATAAAATGATTCAAAACTACCAACCTAAATATTGACAGTTAACATAACCTCAAAATTTCAAATCTTAAATTATTTTAATTAATAATTTCTTTGTAGAGTCAAAAACCTGGTGGGGAATCAGGAACTTACACAGTATCGGAAGTAATATCAAAGCCCGTTAATATCCCGGTGAGTAAAATCAAAAATTATAAAATAAAAAATTTTAATTTGCACTTTTAGATGTTATTCGAGACTACGACTTGTTGTGTAACGTTCCAATTCACTCCAGAAATCGAGGAAGGTGAACATCTGGGTAAAGTCCCATCTTATTACGACAAATTAAATTCTTGGTTGGGTCAAATACTTCAATTAGACGCCCCGCAAGTACCGTTAGATATTTGTGAGTTAGAAAATGTTGGTGTTGTTCTTCGATTTTGTCCGTTGGAGCTCTCAAATTCTGAATTACCCACGTTAGAATCGATTCAGTCTTTCGTGCAATGTTTAGAGCAGCAATTAATTATTTTACGGGCTACGGTTCAACATAAAGAAACGTTTGTTAAATTAGTCGAAGCTTCCCCTGTGTTAAAATTGGTTGAATTACCCGAATGGGCTGGATTAGGCGGGGTTCGCTACGCCCCTGAAGGTTGGGAACAATTATTAACCGATCAAGTTAAAGAAGAATTAAACAATTTAAATATGGCCCTCGTCGATACATTACGATCGACGGATTCGGCGTTTTCTTTGGGAGAAGGAGCCGATGGGTTAATGTGCGTTCGATTTGGAATGTTAACGCCGCAATCTGACGTTGAAGAGCTACTTAATTTGGTGATAAAAGTGGGTCAATCTGTTGAAGAGAACTCGCGAGTTTTAGATTCAATGGCGGAAATCGTCCGAAAAGGTATCGAAACGGCCACTTTAGACCTTCAAAAAGAAAACGAAGAGCGTTTATGGCAAGAAGGTATTTTAAGGCACGTTCCCGTCGTTGGAACGTTTGTAAATTGGTGGTCCCCGAAATCGAGGGAATCCGGCGTTCGGGGAAGAAGTTTAAATTTAACGCAAGGTGTTGTTGAATCAACCGAAAATATTTATAAATATCATATGCAGGTTCAAACTGGTACAGTTCCTTCGGGTAGTAAAGGTCCCCCAACGCCACAAGTTCAAAAACCAGTTGGTGGGAATCATTCAAGATCGAGTAGTCATGCTTCGGCCTCTTCTAGCCATGGAAAAGAAAAAGATGAAAAGGTTAAAATCGAAGAAAGTGAAAATAACGGGGTTCAAAGAGTTCTTACGACGAAACTTCAAGCTGATGGAACAGTATTAACACGATAGGAGGAATTAGGAGGATGAAAAAAAGTTTTCTTTCTAATTAATTAAGTTTTAGAGAGTTAAAATGATTCCAGACTCAATTAAGTTTATTAAAAATATATTTTTGCTTTCTATCCTTTATTTTTTTTAACAAGTTTTAAAGTATTATCATTAATTTGATTGTTATTACATTTATGGTGTTTTTTATTGTATGAGTTGTTCCTTAATTATGTGTTATTCTAAGAGGTGACGCACATTATTTTAATTTTTGTTTGTTTTAATAAGATTTAATATCTTTATTATAAAATAAAAGAGCTAATTTAATCATATCTTTTATTAAATTATATTTTAAATGTGCTGTGCATAATATATAATGTTCTACTTTTGGATAATCTTCACAAAGTTGTTTTTTTTGTTGTACCAAAGAAATAAAGAAAAAAATTGAAACAATAATTAAATTATGCTGGCATTTTTGTATATATTTAACAATGAAGAATTCCCAATAATATATTAAGATTATTTATAACTAAAATAAACAATTTATTTATCTATAAACAAAGTTGACACTTTTAAAAAAATCCTATCGCCATCTAGCGGCCGCTACACATATCAAAAATATTATTGACAATTAAAACTAACAAATTTTCTGCAAGAAATACAATAATTGAAGTGATTTTGTATTAATTGTAAATACTGAATTGTTTTTATTAATATTTATTTTATAATTTGTTGAAAAGTAAAAAATTCTTTATAACAATAACCCCATCTAGCGGCCTCTACACATATTAAAGATATTTGACAGTTCAAAACACCGGTTGCATTTCTTTTCAAAATTAGCTAATTTTCTGCAAAAACGACGCAATAAATTAATGTGATTTAGTGGTTACAACCAATTTCGTGAAATTAATACTCGTAGTGACCCTTTGTAACGAAAAATTCAAACTGTAAGTACCTATTTACCATTTATCGATACATCACAATCATATCGTTGGATATAACTCAATCCTCGATGATAAATCGTTAATTAATAAGTAACAAATTATATTATTAATGTTATTTATTATTTTTATTAAATCTGTCAAAAATAATTGACATTTTAATTAAGGTTACCAAGGATACCAAGGTTTGTTTGTATTGTTATTTTTCGTCTTAAATTTTTAATTAACAACAAAGATTGTTCTACATTTAATAAAACGAAAATTGAAGAATGTTCTAATTCATTTTATTGACAACCATAAACAGGATATGTACTAATAAAACACTATAAATTAATATATTAACAATTAATTGAAATTTTTACCTAAGAGTACTAAAATAATATAATAATATAATTCTAAGATATGAATAGAAATTTGTATAAATCTACGCTAAACAATTAAGTTTTGTGGTTCACAATCTAGCGTCACAGAGGTTCCAGATTTTGATTCAGATTTGGTGGTAATTGTAACTATCATATCACCGCAATCATTTATGCCATCAATATTATTAGGTTTCCATAAGAATGGTTTTGTACTCCAATTATCGAAATGATCTATAATAAAGTCCGAGGCACCTGTCTCCTTTAATTTCAAGTCGTACATAAATGTACACGACTCTGAACCTATATTTGGTGATTTCCACGATACTTCTATATTTCCCGCTCCTAAAAATTTGAACGAACCGTCTTCAACCGGTGGTAATTCTGTTGGAATAGAAAATTAAAATAAATAAACGTTATAAAAAGAAGAGTTGTATTTACATTAAGAGAAAACGCAAGTTTTTTGAAATGCCATTAGTAAAGAAATTATCAAATTTATATGTATGGTTGCAAGCTGCTATGCTAAACTTATGATCACTAAAAACGGTGCATAATGATAGTTGCTGGAATAAAAGAAGAAGAGAAGAAAAGGGAAAAAAAAAGTTCTCAAGAAGATACTTGGAGAGCCAATAAATGACGTTTTAGGTGGTTTTTAAATGTTACAAGGTGAGGAATATATATCATTCAGCTTTGCCAGTAAAGGTCGACTGCCAAACGCAATTGCTTGAGTTTTAGCAGTATTTAATTTAAGGCCATAACGTTTGGACCAATCCAAAATATTGGAAAGGTCATGATTAAGACGTGCAATTGCTTCGGGAAAATAATCAATAGTTGTCAACTCCATTAGCTCCCACACTCATGATTATAACATTGTAGCAGTGGTAAAGTGTTATTTTTGGTTTACAATCTTTAAGTTAGCCAGCTTACCTTCTATGGAGATATCTCCGGAGGTTCCAATAACTCCCGAGACTGATGCCACCACTTTAACCATGTTCTTGCAGGTTTCCGTCAGTTCATTGGTAAAGGTGTAGGTGTTGGTGGTTATCAATTTTACTATCTTGGTCGTCTTGCTCAATTGTCATTGTTATGTCATTTACGGCATCTTGAGTTGGTGGTACTAAATAACCAATTATCATTAATAGCTCTAAAACCGATCTTTAAATAAGCCAACTTACATACTATGGAGATATCTCCGGGGGTTCCAATAACTCCCGAGACTGATGCCACCACTTCGACCTTATTGCTCTTGCAGTTTTCCGTCAGTTCGTTGGTAAAAGTGTAGGTGTTGATGGTTAATTCCCTGTCTATCGGAATGTCGTTTACAGTTAGACTGTACGTTACCTCACACCCTTCGAATTCAGTGCCATAATCAGTCCACGTCACAATTTTACTATTTTGGTCGTCTTGCACAATTGCCATTGTTATGTCATTTACGGCATCTTGAGTTGGTGGTACTAAATAACCAATTATCATTAATGGCTCTAAAAGCGATCTTTAAATAAGCCAACTTACCTACTATGGAGATATCTCCGGGGGTTCCAATAACTCCCGAGACTGATGCCACCACTTCCACCTTATTGCTCTTGCAGTTTTCCGTCAGTTCGTTGGTAAAGGTGTAGGTGTTGATGGTTAATTCCCTGTCTATCGGAATGTCGTTTACAGTTAGACTGTACGTTACCTCACACCCTTCGAATTCAGTACCATAATCAGTCCACGTCACAAGTTTGCTATTTTGTCCATCTTGTACAATTGTCATTGTTATGTCATTTACGGCATCTTGAGTTAGTGGTACTAAATAACCAATTATCATTAATGGCTCTAAAATCGATCTTTAAATAAGCCAACTTACCTGCTATGGAGATATCTCCGGGGATTCCAATAACTCCCGAGACTGATGCCACCACTTCCACCTTATTGCTCTTGCAGTTTTCCGTCAGTTCGTTGGTAAAGGTGTAGGTGTTGATGGTTAATTCCGTTTCTATCGGACTGTCGTTTACGGTTAGACTGTACGTTACCTGACATCCTTCGAATTCAGTACCATAATTAGTCCACGTCACAATTTTACTATCTTGGTCGTCTTGCTCAATTGTCATTGTTATGTCATTTACGGCATCTTGAGTTGGTGGTACTAAATAACCAATTATCATTAATGGCTCTAAAAGCGATCTTTAAATAAGCCAACTTACCTACTATGGAGATATCTCCGG